TTTTTTTTTTTTTTTTTTTCATGGCTTGTATCTAGGTGTCCCCCAAAGCCTTATGGGGTTATAGGTGGGACATTTGGAGACAGCTGGATTTAGGGTGTGTGATGCTGGGATGGAGGATGTGATGCTGGGATTGCTTCATGGCACAATGTTAGGATAAGGCTGCCTCACCCTGGGTGTGAATGCTCCCCACCCTAAGGGTGGATAACCTGGAGGAGATATAAGGAACACTTACTTGCTACTTCTGTACTTCACTTCTTTGCTGCCTTCTGCCTGCCGTGAACTATTTCTCCTCTGTGATGCCCCTCTGCCATGCCACCCTGTCTTGGAAGCAACCAACTATGAACTGAAACCTTTGCAAACTATAAGCCCCATAAACCTTTTCCTCCTTTAAGTGTCAGATGTCTTGTCTTGGCAATGAGAGAAAAGTAACTAAGACAGTCTTGGTTTACAGGAAAAGAATTAGTCCAACTGCTATTGAAATTCTGGTGTGCTATAGGGTCCTTCTAGAAATTCTTTCCAGGTTTTTATCATCCTGAACAAAGAATTGGTTAAGACAATTACAAAAAGTAGTGAAATTTTACATTTATTAACAGTACTGACAGAAAAAGAACTATGCGTTTAGATGAGTGTGGGCCAACTAAAAGCAGGACAAAAAGTACATGCTTCAAGCATGGAGCAGGCCAAGAGAAGAGCTTCTGTGGCCCCCAGCTCAAAGGAAGCCATCTTTTGTATCCTGGGCTCCTCAAACTGACATTAGATATAAGCTTTCCTATCAAAACACTGTTTGAGTTCTCATAAGAATTGAAGATAGCACTTTCTGATTGCACCCAGGTTCAGGGCCTGGAACTGTTTTTCTGCACATGTGTTCTATTTTTTTGTGATTGACAGGTTACACCCACTTACCCAGCCAGCTGCTCATGCCCAGTCTCTTGCATCACACTCGTAGAAAAATAATGGCCCATTTAATAGGTGAGTGCACAAACCTCTTTTTTTCTTTCTTTCTTTCTTTCTTTCTTTCTTTCTTTCTTTCTTTCTTTCTTTCTTTCTTTCTTTCTTTCTTTCTTTCTTTCATTCTTTTTTCTTTCTTTCTCTCTCTCTTTCTTTCTTTCTTTTCTCTCTCTCCCTCTCTCTCTCTCTCTCTCTCTCTCTCTCTCTCTCTCTCTTCTTTGTCTTGTTATGCAGTTCAGGCTGGCTTTTAATTCACTATGTAGACCAAGCTGGCCTTGAACTCCCAGGATCCTCCTGTCTCAGCCTCTTGAGTGCTTGAGTGCTGTGATTACAGGAGTGTGGCACCACACTTGGCTCCTACTATTTTTTAAAAGATAGATGTTTCTATATTCAAACCAGATTTCTGTCCTTTACTTCTAATTTATGGACTTAAAAGGATTTTTTGATGTGAAGGGCTTAGAAAATAAGAAATAATATAAATAGTCATAGGGATACATACTAACATGTATTTATCTTGAGTAACTTTGTGTCCTGGAGCTACAATCTTCTTAAAGGTACAATTGTTTTTTAGTTATGATTTTTATTGTTCCTTTCTAGTATCTCAATAATTCTACCTCAGAATTACCTGGTTTACTTACAGAAAGGGGGCTCTTATAATATTACTTTTATCTTTCAGGTTTCAGTCATGTAACCAGCCACTTAGATCCATAAGAACAGGTTCATTTGCTCCTGCTGACCAAATCAAAGAAGGCCATTTATTTTGGTAAAAAGGAAAAAGAGAATTTTTCAGAGCCAGTTTGAAAAGATGCAGAGGCCTCATTATCCAAATCACCATCTCCCTGATGTAGGTGTGTCAGGGCCCTTCATAGAAAGGAACATTGTGGGAAGGAGGATTGTATGAGACCATGGACAAGGCTAGGTTTGTTTTATCTCTTCCTGGGTCCAGACTGCTTTTTCCTTGACTAAGGAAATGAAAGTGGACTTTAATCTCTTCATACTGGAATGCGCATATTCTGTCCATTCATCTGGGCTGAGAAGTGCAGAGTGACAGTTTATGCCCCAGGCCTGAAGAGATCTGGAGAGGCCACTTCCTTCTAAGGCAAACAAAATCAAACTTTAAAATTCCAATTTGCCTTGCCAGTTACAATAAAAATTTAGCACCCATCTATTTGTGACTTAATTTATCTCCAAAAGAAATAGATTATACTCTATAGCTTCTGTCTTTTCTTTTTCACGCAGCGTTACCCAGATTTTTTTTCTTTGCTTCTTAAGCCACAGGAGAGACCAAGAAGTTCTATTTCTTAAATTTTTTTTCTTAATGATAATCTATATGTTTTCTTAATTATTTCTAAGGAAAGTGTCTCATCGTCTGCCTCTTAATTGCTCCCCTCCATCTTTGCTAATGGCCCGGTTCATGAAGTCAACCCCATGGAGACTACTGAAGGTAGATTGTGACTTTGTGAGCTCTTACATTCTACTCCCCCCCCCCGCAAAGAAACACAAACAAACAAACACACAAAACCCACTGTTTTTGTTTTATAACTAGAAGCAAAATTTAAATTCTCTTCATCTCTATCAAAACTTATTAAATAAGTACTTTACTTGTCCTTTATCAATTATATATCCTGTTCTAAATAATGGAATATACAACTTGCTACTGTTTATATTAGTCTTCAATTCACTTTCAATTATGACATTTTGTTATTTTTAAATAATTAATGGGAAAATAATTTCAAAGTGTCAGCAATAGCACTGAAAAAAATTTATAAGAAAATCTTAATATGTAGGCCATTTGAAAAAGTGCCCTTTAATAATTAAATAGTAAGTAGTGAATTGCAACTAAATATCAGAAAACAAACAGGAAAACATGATCTGAGCATAGTATCTCCAGGTTAATACTTGTCACTCATAGCCTCATGCTTTATAATTTGGTCGTGTTGTTTGTATGCTGCAGTTCTTCCAACTTCCTTGCTGTTTCATAGCTCTGGGCCTTTAATACATACTTTTTCTTCCTGATGCTTGTCCCTACTCTCTTTACCCTGGTCATGTCTACTTGACATTTATTTTTATTTTTTGAGACAGGGTCTCACTATGTAGTTGAGACTGACCTGGAACTCACTATGTAGCCCAGGCTGGTCTTGTACTCACAGAGATCCTCCTTCCTGTGTCTCCTGAGTGCTGGGATTACAGGTGTGCACCACCACGCCCAGCTTCTACTTGACATTTAGTTCTTACTTCTTCTGGAATGTCTTTCTCTTCCCCTCCATCAGGTCACAGCATCATAGCAAGTATTACACACGGGGGGTGGGGTGGGGAGAAGAATGGATAGTGCCAGGCAGTGCTACTCTAACATGTTATTTCTTTCATAGTTTTTGCAGAAAACCACCTGTAGCTACAAGGGATGATAAAAATGAAAACATCTGGTCAAGAGGAATCATATCAAGCAAGATCAGCACAGGCAGACCATGATCATCACCTAGGTGAGAAAAATTGCTGTTAAGAATGAAATTGGTATGTTATTATCAAGAAAAGTGAAAATGGCCTAAGGGGAAAAGATCAACAGTATTTACCAGGCTTTTTCTTACAGATCAACACGGCATCAAGTAGTAGTCTAATTGGACAGCTCCTTATTACAGCCTTGGTTATACTGTCTCCTGCCACCCCCACGCCTGCTGTTTCCAAACTAAAAAGCAAAGGCCTTCAGAGTTCTCCCAGTCAAGGTTAGTGTTTAGGTATCTTGTGTTTGTTGTCTCTTACTACTTTGCATGATACTTGCTTCTGGAGCCGAAGAAACTATGTTTAAAGGATTTATTTAGCTGGTGCTCCAGAGAATTTGGAAAGTAAACAGCTGTTTCTTCTTTGTCAATATGGCAATTAAGAACAGGGAGATTAAAGAAAGAAAAGTAAATACAGCTTTTATTTCTACAGTAGACTGGTAGGCCAGTGAGTCATTGAATAGGTAATGAGCACTGAAATAGTTTTGGATTAACAAACGCAGTTCAAAGGATAAAAATTGTCACTTCCTACAGCTTCTTCATCCCCTAAAGTACCGAAACATGACACAGAGAGAAGCTTGCCAATTTAGAACTAGAAATTTGTTTTCATTTGACTGTGGTGTAAAGATATTTTTATGCCAAGGAGAGAAATCTGCATGAAAATTTAGTTTCTAGTAAAAGCAGATTTTCTGCAGCCAGAAGTGTTACTTTTGGTTTTATAGTGGTTGAGAAAAATCAGTGATCTTGTCAGACTGCATAATCTTTCTGGGACTCTTTCCTTATTCTTTAAAGAATAGTGATATTGTTACTGGGTAGGGCAGGTCCTTGCTTTAGTGATATATGAAATTAAAATGAAACTATTAGTTTATAGAAAAAGCTTTAATTGGAAAGCAAATGGAAAGAGCAAACAGACAAGTAAAGGACTCCAGCTTGATTAGCTGGAGGATGACCACTCGGATACAGCAGTTCAGAGTGGCCCACTCCTAAAAGCAGGAAGCCACTTTAAGGATTAGGTGAGATGGCTCAAGGTCAGGTCTGTTTTTATCTCAATTCTGGTTTCTTAGCTCAGCCTGAATCTCTGTGACTTGAGGAGCAATTTGTCTTCTATGAGAGGAAACTTCATGATTAAAGAGACAATTTAGTTCCCATGGGAAGAGTCTTTATGACCTAAGAGGCAATTCCTGTCACCATGAGGGTCTGCTGGAACACAGTGTGACCAAGGTGACTTCTGCTGCTTGGTCCGCGGAGTTCGGTTTGGGAGCTCGGACTGGGAGGGTAAGGAGCAGAATCACCAGGCAGACTCTGGGGAGGTTTCTGGAATGCTTCTGTTTTATTTAGGAAATGCACAGGCTTATATAGCTTATGTCTGGACAACCATGGGGGAGGAGCATGGGAGGAGCATTTGATTACATGGCACTTTCTTTTTTTTTTTTTTTTTTTTTTTTTTTTTTATTGAGTTTATTGGTACATTTAGGGATACAGTACAGTTACATTCATTGTTGGGATCATGTACCTTTACATGGCAAGTCTTGATTCTCATTTTTTTCCCCTTACCTCTGCCCTCCCTTCACCCCCTCCTCCCCTCCCCATCTACAAACTCTTTATTTTCATCTTTTCCTTCTCTCACATTTTTTTCTTTTCCCTTTTTGTTCTTCCCCTACGTATCACACCTTCCCTACACCTTTAGCTCCTTTCCTCCCTTTTCTAAATGTCAGTAATCTTATTAGAATCTTATGCATTGTTGCAGAATATTCACACCAGGGAAACTATTTGGTATTTACACATGGGGGACTTATTTATTTCACTTAGGAGAATATCTTCAATATGTATCCATTTTCCTATGAATGAATCTATTCTCTCGCTCTTTATGGCTGAGTAATATTCCATTTTATAGAAAAACCACATCTTCTTTATCCAGTTTCCAATGGATGGGCAAATAGGTTGTTTCCAAGATTTAGCTATCACAAACTGTGCCGCTATAAACATGGGTGCACATACTTCTCTGTGATATGATTCTTTTAGTTCTCTTGGAAAGATACCCAACAGAGGGATGGCTGGGTCAAATGGAACCTCCAGTCCAAGCTCTTTGAGGTATCTCCATATTGATTTCCATAGTGGTTGCACTAGTCTGCACTCCCACCAACAATGGAGGAGGGTTCCTTTCTCCCCACAACCCCGCCAACATTTGTTATTGTGTGATTTCTTGATAGCAGCCATTCTTTGTGGGGTGAGGTGGAATCTCAGTGTTGTTTTCATCTGCATCTCTCGAATGACCAGTGATGTGGAACATTTTTTCATATATTTTCTTGCTGCTTTCACTTCTTTGTATGAGAAATGTCTGTTCATTTCGGATGCCCATTTTTGGATCGGGTCTTTATATTTGGGGGGACTGATTGTTTTGAGTTCTTTATATATCCTTGATAATAGTCCTTTGTCTGAGGTACAGCTGGTAAACATTTTTTCCCACATTGTAGATTGTCTCTGAGTTCTGCTAATGGTTTCTTTTGAAGTCAGAAGCTTTTTAGTAAGATGAGATCCCAGTTGTTGATTCTTTCTGCTAGTTCCCGTGCTACTGAGGATTTGTTCATAAAGTCTTTTCCTATACCAATGTCTTCCAGAGTTCTACCTAACTTACTTTCCAGCAAGTTTAATGTTTCTGTTTTAATATTTAGATCTTTAATCCATTTGGATTTTAATTTAGAGCATGGCGAAAGATAAGGGTCTAATTTTAATCTGTGACAGGTTGATATCCAGTTTTTCCAACACCATTTATTAAAGAGGCTATCTTTCCTCCACTGAGGATGGTGAGCTCCTTTGTCGAAGATGAGGTAGCTGAGTACATCTGCATTTGTTTTTGTGTCTTCCAGTCTGTTCCATTGATCCTCAGGCCTATTTCTTTGCCAGTACCATGCTGATTTTATCACAGTGGCTTTGTAGTATAGTTTCAAATTGGGAATTGTTACACCTGGTGACATGGCACTTTCTTATAGGTTATGCAGTAGTGGAGAACATTGGGCAATATCTTATTATAAAGGTGGGGTGATTTTTCTTGGGTGAGGCGAAGGAGTCACGGACTAGGGGCAGAGGTACAGCCTGTTAGACCCAGCCTCTATGCACTTAGGCAAGTTAGCTCAGCCTCAGAGAGGTCTTCTAGTTTGCTCAGAAAACAGGAGTGCGGCACACCTGGCCCAGCCAGGCTTGAACTTCTCTCACAGAAGACTATAGAAACTTCTAGGCATAGATGTTCTTAGTCTTGAAAGGAGATGAGGTAGGCCAGCGATGATGAAATTTTTACATACTGAGTGCCCAAACTGTAACCCAAAAGCCACTTATTTATCACAAAATGACAACACTGCAATTAAAGATGAATACTGAAGTTTTAGTTTAGAAAACATAATTGTCATCCATTGTTCACCTGCTGGAGTGACTTGGCTCACATGCCCATACAGAGGGCTCTGTTTACTTGTTTCTGCACATGTGCAATAGGTTTGCCACCACTAAGCTAGGCTAGGCAGATTCAGAGATAATAGATACTCCCTAAATGACTAAATACCCGTAAAAGGTTCAGCAAAATATTTGACTCAGAGTTTCACAAAAGGAGAGTCAAGCTTTGTTCTACTTTCATTTGTCCATTGGGCATTTTAAAGCCCAAATGAAGGGTTAGAATTTTTATCTAAAACCACTTTTACATCCCTAACTAACTTAGGAGAAAATAGCAGACATGCTTTTGATGAGTAACAGGTTAAAAGCCCAGAAGTTTGTTCATCCTCTGCTCCTATTGTTGTCTCTATGTCACGACTATGCTAATTCTCCATGGGGGCATTTCTGTCTTATACTTCCATGAGCTCAGGAAGTATCACCTCCAAATATTTCCCCTTTATATGCTGATTACTTCCATTTGAGAGCACTTGAGGAACATAAAATGCAGGGATGTTCACTTACTTCTACAGATAGAGTCTCCAAAAAAGAAAGAAATTGTCATCTACTCCCTCTCTGGGTATCTTGTCAGTTAAGGAAGATTAACTCACAGGAGTGGAGACACCATACTGAGACAGACTTTGTGAGAGAATATCACCTGTTCTCCTGATAGCTTCCTCTGAGATAAATTTCATTACCTGAACACTCTATCTACATGTCAGAAAACCTTTATTCACCAAATATTTCCTCTCTCACCCTCCTATAACTTGTCATCCACCCCCTTCTCTAAGATCCTTTCTATACCTCAGGATACTATGAAAACTTTGGCATCCCAACTCTTTGTTAAGTCGTATTTTGTGGAACATCTGTGTATATAGATGTAGTTAAAATGTTTTTTTCTCCTATTATTCTGTCTATTGTAAGTTTATTTCATAGACTCAATTGTCAAAATGTCAGAAAGTAGAAAACTCTTTCTTCTACATGCTCAATTTAGTTTCTGACATGTGACAGACATCCAATAGTTATTAATTAAAATATAGCATTACAATCAAATAAAATATATGCTAAAGTGTTGTGAGTTTCTATTAAAATTTAAGTAGGTTTATTCTTATCAGAAAACAAAATTTCAATAAATTGAGTATAAGTAACTAATTGGCTTATAGGATTATAAGGATTCCATTTAGTATTCATGAACCAGATAGCATCCTGTATGAGCATTAGAAGGAGCTCCATCAGTCATGGCAAACAATTAGCTTTTGTATGGAAGATTTACCAGTAACAAGGAAATAGTGAAGTGCAAAAATCTCAGTGGTTGTCATCAGGCTGATTTTCTTGAATAGGTTAAAGCACAGAATTCCTTATTGAGCAAGTTCAGATTTGCCAAGCCCCTTTGAATCAGTTGCAGCGATTTTCTTGATTTTTTTTCTAACTTTTCCATTAAGGAAATCTTTTTCCTGTTGTCTCAGAAGGTCAGTACAAGTAAACCACACAGATCTTGCTTTAGAGATGTACAACTTTAGCATAACTGATTCTATTCTGGAGTCGTTATCTTAGCTGTTTCTCCGTCTTTTTTTTTTTTTTTTTTTTTTTTTGGTGGCGCTTTTGTCCTGAGATACATTCGCAATTAAAAAAAAATAATTACATTTTGGGACTGGGTTTCTCTAAGTCACTAAGTTGCTAAGATTGGGCTTGAATTTATCTCCTAAGAGTGCTGTGATTATAATCATGTACCACTCTCCAGCTATAATTTTAGCTTCTTCAAGGATGACTCCATGGAATAAAGGAACAAATGGAGTAGTTTT